ACTCATATATTATATTGATAAATAGTAATAAATAACGGCGACCAACATTATTTCCATTTTAATTGGCAAATAATATAGCATTGCGGCTTCTTAAGCTTCCTTAATCTGAAATAAATTGACACGCTGACAATTCATGCTGGTTTTTCGGCTCTTTAGGTACCCACAATTATATTATTTTACTCCCTGACTAAGCAGAAATGCGGACAATAGTGACACGTGCGGTTTCCACACACTTTTAAGATGCGTTATGCAACTGGAAGTTACGAAATTATTAAGAATAATGAACCTTTTTCTTATCCAGAACGTTGTGACATCGAGTACACACATGCTGTCTCAGAACCCTTTTCAGTATCAACCATAATGTTTGGATTAGCATCAATATGATATGATCGTTAAGCAAATAAACGGGATTGAATTTATCGTAAACATGGTCTTCTTCTATTTAAGTGTTTGGACTCATAATGTTTATTGTTTCTGTTAGTGCACGGATTTAGGAGGGGTCAATATACGGACACGAAAGTAGAAAAACAGCGTCATTCAAAGTTGGTGTCATTTTAATGGATGGGCCGAACAGGGTTCTTCGTGGAGTTACTGATGGGTGCGATTTATTTGAATGCTTTAGAAAATAAATTTATTGTTCCTTGCAAGGCTCATGTTTCGATGAAGCATCCGAGTTCATCCGCTTAGGGCAAGTGAGGAATTCTGGAGTTTCTTGGCACAAAAACAACCAAACTTTATATTTGGTTGCTGGAATCAACTAATTGTTTTTGAGTTGATGCATTAAGCCTTTTTGAACATTTTTGGGATCTTTGTTAAATCCTGCAGCATTCATAGCTTTTGCGCAAAAAAATGATTTATGTTTTCCTGCTAGTTAACAATTTCAGACATAACTACAAATGTCGTAGTCATGATCAAAGTCTGAGACCCGTCGACTTTTGAAAGAGTTTTTGTCCGAATTGCTTTCATCAGAAACCGCACGAAGAGGCGAGCCCCTGATGTACGAGCAAACCACAGCAAGTTTCATTAAAACCCAACTGGGCGCTTTCCCGATATTAAAAAGGAACTTAATTTAACTTTTGTAGGTGTAAGAAGTTAACGGATCTCTAAAATTGTCAGTTGGCAAGAGAAAAGAAATATTTTGTTTTGTCAAGAAGCGCGAATGCTTGAAGATTTTCAAATGAGGAAAAAAAATTCAACAAAGGATTCAACAACTCTAAAAAATCCACCTACCAAATTAAAAGTTCTGGTACTTTTTTTACGAAGACACTAAAAAATTTCTCACTTGTTGGGCCGAGAGGATGAAGTTCATCAATACATGAATCGTACAGAGAAACAAATTCACAGCAAGTTGTATTAAAATCCACCGTACCGTTATCACGATATAAAAAAAGAGTTTTATTGAAGAAATTTGACCATGAATAGCAGATGAACCAGACATGTTTTCTTAGTAAAAGTTGGGTCAGATCGTCGTCTTTTATTATTCTTTATATTTATTGGCCAATAAAGTAAGTCAATTATGGAAGGTAATTTTTTGGTCGTCAACGAATTTAAACTTGTGTTGTTCCCACAATAAATTGATGAAAAGTCAGCAAAACCAATACAAATTTCATACTTCAGTTCTGTTCCTTTGTGTTGATAACGATGGGCAGATCATAGCACAAGAGCCAAGAGCCAAAATTCTGTGCTTATGCCTCCAAGGAAGCGACTGATTTTCTTACTGATTTATTAATTAATCAACTTATTGCAGACAACACAGATTTTGAACATTTGAAACTCAATAAAAGCAGAAAATTAACCTGAACCCTAATTCCTTGTTACTTTACATGGAGAAACGCTGACCACATCGTTATTGCAGTTAGCAAACAACATTTTAATCTAAAAAATTCCCAGACAATTTTCACAAAATGCAACAATTTACAACATGCTGTAAGTCTGCAATAAATCGCGATCTGCGATTTATCGAGTGCAGCAGCTTCATTCCAGGCTTTACGCTCATATCTGGTGACCTGAAATAATTGGCCCAATTTGCTGGCCAATAAATCGGGGAACAGTTATTGTAATAAGCATTTCATTTCAAGCAACTTTAGGTCTCAAGTCCGCTAATAAAGCAACGAGACAATTCAGTGGCTAAAAACTTAAACCATAAGAATTTAAGTAAAACGAATATAAAAAATCCTGCAAGTACTCAATTGCTCCTCACACAGAATAAAGCAATGATAACGTGGAAGGAAATCAGAAGCCGATGAAGAAGCGTTGGTGTCTAAAATTCAGTTTGAAATTCAAAAATTCAAAGATTATTGGTAAGGTCTGAGGCAATGCAATTGAAAAATTGCACAGAAGTTAGGTAAGCAGACCAAGACAAAGGATTTTTGGAAACATCGTTTAATGCCTTTCCATGGTCTCGATGGCAATCTCCGTCTGAAACAACAATCGAACATTTACATTGTTTCCTAACGCTATTGCGAAGCTGGCCCGATAATCAATTGGCAAAGTCAAACGACGAACTGTCTTCGAACTGTACCTACTTTGCATCGGTTTGCAAACCGGAAACCGGCAAACCGTAGTAAATGTAGGTACGTACGTACGATAGTTCATTGAAATTAGCGATTGTTTAAAAAAAAACAAGAAATTACCTGGAATGAGGTTATCTCATTGACACACTTTTTCGCGGCCAGAAATTCGCCGCTTTTGCTCGTCGCAGCTACTTCACCAATGCCGTCAGATTTCTTTTCAGTTTTTCTAATATCAAGTATGAATTATTGTGTTTTTGTTTGGTATTGCCGTAGTCCTAGACCGTTCAAGGATCGTATTTAAATAGCACTTGCATCGCACACGGTACGACGCAATTTCATTTTACCTTTATGACTTGTGATTTCTTAGGCAGCAGCAGCAATTTCGTTATCTTTCCACCTAAACAACGCTGCTTTAACTTGATTCGTATTGCCAATTTCGCATTTTGTTCAAATTCTCGGTGAAAGTACTCGTACGGCTTTAAAACTACTGATTTGAAACCATATTCAGGGTGAACCAGAAATTGTTTTAAATGATCAGTTGGAAAGCCCGCAGTATAGCCAAACATACATATAAAACCTTGCACAGCTGAAGAACATTTGCTATTGGGAAAACTACCTTCGCATTAACGATTTACAAAAAAGCCAAGGAGGGAACCCAGGCAGATGTTAAATTGTGCACTTTAAAACCGAAAATGTACAGCAGTGTCGGAAATGCATCAAGTTTGGTTGCCTCAGTAGGACAGAATGAGACACGTCTAGACCTCAGAGTGAAAGAAAGAACGATTTAAAATGTGACTCTCTATGTGCAAAATATTTCGGTTCTTGCTTTCAAATGATATTAAACGATGGCAATTTTTGTTCAAATAGTTCATTTGGCACATACTAATTGGGTCTTAAAGCAACTTTCAATAGTGTACAATGTACAATGTACATGCAGGCGCGTTTGGTCAAAATTGGCCGCATTTTCCTAGATCCGATGTTTTTTCCAATGAAACAACCGTGGATTATTTGAAATTTCTGCGAGCAGATTCAATATTTAATAATTGAAAGTTCTTATTTGACGTGCAAACCTGCTAAAGTGGGCCATTCTTGCACTAGCTCTGCCATGCTTGATCATTTATCATCCAAAGTATTTGTGTGATTTTCTAATTAAATTTTTCTTCTGCTTAGCACTTTTCTCTTAAATCCTGTCTGCTTTCGTCGACATTTATTACCATTCCAGTTATGTTTTTCAATAGCTCAATTAGACTGTTCGATTTTTATGGTCGCTAACTTCTAATGTACTACGATTTTCTGTTTCTGCTACATAATGCGCCTTGATAAATTTTAATCAGCATCTATATTTTCTCTGCTTTTGTCAAGTATTTTACTTACACTTTAATCTTACTTTAAATGCTGAGAGAGTCCCTATAATTATTGCTTCGGATATTTGTATTTTTTCAAACACAAATTGTTCTACAGTTCACATTTTTTCATCTTCATTGTCTTGATTACTGGTGTTATTTTTGCACATCGATATTTCTCTATAAATAGATACTATTTGCTTCTGCTACTTAGGACAATAGATGAAGTACTGTTTGAAAAGTTCGAAAAGTATTGGATTTGTAGAATGTCTCACTAATTTTTAAATAAGCTCTATATTGTTGAGGCGGATTCATTTTTTTACAAACTGCTTGTTAGGTAATTCGCCACGTCTTTTATTACAGATTGATAAATAATTTAATTTATTAAGTGCAATAATTTAATAATCAATTAATTGTTTAAGTTTTTAATAAAATTTTTCACTTTTTGAGGAGCCTTAATTTCAAGTCTGAGGAACAGTTGCGTCTATTATCACAAATATTTGGTCAATTTAACGGATACCAAAATTTTACGCTCGTTCGACGTTGTTAAACATTTTAAGTTTTGAAGAGTGCAATTCAAAAACTAACCACAAATCCGGCAAAACGCTGGTTAAAAAAACGAACAAAATGTTGAATCTTAATGTAAAAACATTTGATCAAATATCTTATTATTACCTTAAAATTGAACTGTCGCTAGGAATTAGAGCACTTTTTTACCCCTCATTTACATACTTTTCTATTTAGAACTAATGTCAGTGATGTAATCACCTAAAATATAGATCGATTGCTAAATAACAGTTAGGTATACGTGATATACTCATATCTAAATTCTCGTTACCGTTACATTTACTTAATACTATGAATGCAGTACGAATGGTTGTTAATCCACAACTGATAAGAATTATTGTTTTCAAGTTTGTGTAAACATTTCGCTAATATGGTTATAATGTTGTGTTGATACAGACTAGCTTAATTAATATTTATGAGTAATTTGCCAGCTTACGCCGACAGCGGTTCGAGGCATATCAAAAAAGATTTGGTTCTAATTAAATTTCCGATGTTGGTTATCTGTTAACCTTTTTTAACCCTCTGGCCTGAAAAATTCAACACAACTATTAAAATATATGCATGATTTTCTGTCAATAGTCTGATGGTATCATCAATCGGTATATGTGTTCATGCAACCTCACACGTATTTGCCTCCAAGTTTACCACTAATATATATATTAATCAGTATTTCTCCATACTTACCACAAAGAATAATAACACATTTTGCGCTCTGCAATGTTTTAAATGGAACATATTTTATTCAGTATGTCAATGCCAGCATGTGACATCTCAGTTGAATCCTTGACCTAAACCAACAAATAGCGGAATGCGATCAATTCCAAATGAATTGATACAATTATTTCCATAGAAGTCGACGAGATTTGATTGGATTTGTACTAATTGAGGTAAAGATATTGACTAGATTATTAGATAGCGTTACATTTATAGTGTTTGCACGATTTTACTGAGAAATGTAGATGTGTTTACAGGGCGATGCAAAATTAATGTCAAAAGTTAAATTAATTGTTCGGCATTTTAGATCTAAAGAGCACACTTTCAAAACTAACCACAAATATAATCATAATCATACAGATAACAAATAATTGTGTAAAATATGTGTTGTTTAACTTATTTTTTTTTGTGCGAGTTTGAATTATATCTCCCTAACTAACTCCCTAACTAACTCTAGGGCGCTTGGCGCGCTTGCTTCATACACCCATTTGACAGCACTCGCATCTTCTCGATCAATTATGGAACATTCCCTATTCTAAGTCTGTCGAGCTGTCTTGGATCTTTAGTAGTGACCTCACTGGCAGCGTTGTCGCTACGGCTTGTTTTTCCGCGATCCCCGCAACAATATAATACCATCGAAGTAAGGACACCTACAAATATAGCCATCAACCTGTTTTTAATTCTATAAACAAACCGCATTTACAACACAACTATTCTAAACATTTTTATAAACTTAGAATTTAAAGACGACTTACATAATATACAATTTTAGATTGAAAACACTAAAACTGAAAATTGTGAGGATACATCATTATCGCCAACCCAACACCCGAAACCACTAAATTTTATTTTGACCCAATGAAATACAAACAACTTAACAAATTAATGTTTTACCAAATTAAAACCTTAAATCAACAAAATAAGAACATCAAATACGATTTACAGGATGAGTTGCGTTGATTATGATAATGTTAATGCAGACCAAACTAAATAATACAAAAAATACAATTTATGAACACAAATTCAGCGTCAGACATTTCAATGAAAATAGAATAGTGTTAACAAAACAAACACGCAAATTTATTATTTGAGTTCTGATATAATGATAAATAGTTTAATTTCCATAATAATGATATGTAGACAAACGAAAACAATTAGTACACCAGGGGAAACCATGAAATGATTTAAATTAAAACAATTATCAAAGCAGTAACATTTAAACTCGTAAGTAGTATTTAATAATAATTATGTTAAATTCAAAAATTACATAAATTTGCCATTTCCGTGTTTGAGACTCAATTTGAAATATGTTTTTCATATTTTCATACAACATGGAATTTTTTTTCCATATTGAATTTCCAAATTTTCACAAAGAAATTCGTGAAATCTTCCACAGACGGTGATCTAAGAACAAGAGAAATAATTTAATACACGGCTGTTGTAGGGAATGCATATTTAACTAGAATTATCTCAATTGGCTGTAAAATTTTGTGTGTTTACTATAAGGATTCGCTGGTACTTCCCACCTTATGTAAATGTTTCAATATGCATGCTTTTATTCTATTTCAACTGCTTTGATATGTACTGAAAAATTATTGAGCTTGTTATTTTGTTGAAAGCTTGTTTTAAAGTTCACCTTTGGAACAAAATGTTGTGTTGTTCAACATGTTCTGCTTTTACTGGTTACTTAATACTGATTATGTTTCTCAATTAGGTTTGAAGCGAAGTACGAACTTTATAATCTTCCTATGATGATTTTCATTACTTTTGAGTTTTTTATTAGCTTTTGTTCAACCTTTTCAAATCCATCGGTGTATAATTGGTTTATCTACATGCTTCATATTCTCTTTAATCCTGATACAATTGCTATTTGTTCTCTCTTAAGTATTTTACTAAAAAAGGGAATGAAATCGCGTACTTTTACTGAAAAGATGGAACCATTTCAAAATAATACTTTTAAATAATAAGAAAGTTGAAATTCCATCTACAACGGCTGATATATTCTAGAAATTTTCAAAAACATTTTTTCAATATTTTACTCGTACTCTCTAAGTGAGCCCCTATAGCCCCTTAAAAAGAATTACACCAGCTTTGAATCACCCTGTATTATCACTATCCTATCATGTAATGATCTGACTTTATAGTGGATCTTAAAGTCTTTTACTAGCTATGACTGCACTAGTTAGCCTGACTACCTATAGTAATAATTACCTAATTAACCAAACTTGTTTACGACTATGCAAGCTCTTAATAATTTCTTCATAAATATTGGTACAGATGAATTAATCTTTTGAATTTGGGTGATATTAATAGGATTGATGCTGTGATAACAATTCCTTTTCCATTTCTATTTTCAGCGCGAAAAACATGATAAGAAGTACATGCAGGTATTTAAAAGGTTTTGAAGGAAAAGTTATTTCGGTTTTACCGGTAATTAACCGTTTCTACGCGTGCACAAACTAAAATCCGAAAATACCTCTGTACGACTCTTATCGTCAAAATGTCATCTGCAAAGTAACGCGGATAAATATGACAAGTGATAACATATAGTCTGTTAAACATAAGCGCCCAGTCATTAGCGAGCAATTACAGACACTTTAACAACTACGTTTCCACACTAATTACTTTTCAGGCCTTTGACAAAACCACAAAAGACGGAAATAATATTTATTTTGCATCTGTAAATATGCGTGTTGTTGTTATTTGTTAATAGATTGTCACTGTTTAATATTTCCATTAGAAGAGTTGGGTGATAGATGGGCGAAGTCGGTCGGGTGACGAACGGAAAAGTTTTGAGATTGGTTATTATTGGATGTTTACTTCGTTTCCAATTGAATAAAAATCATCATTTTCTCGAGATAAACGTTTGAGTTTTAACCAAATGTTGGATATGTTGATCATTTTGTTCGTTTTTACTACGCTCAAAATATGTGGCAGTCTGATGTTAAATGTATCCTAAATCAGAATGCTAAACGTGCTTTTTCCTGGGCATTAAAGCTTCTTAGACAAATTGCAAAACCAATGTAATGGCTAAAGTTTTATTTAAAAAATTAAGATTGTCAGCATTTTTAAATAAAACTTTAGAATATTGAGCATTTAGAAGAAAAAGTAACTTGGCTAACACTGGAAAATTGTGAAATTTGAATACATTTTAAAAATATTATTAATAAATGACCTTAAAGATAAATCGAAATCAAGCAAAAAAAGTCATCAACATTTTCCCAGCAACAAACGGAGTTACTGCGCCGGTGCGTTGGGTTGGAGCACCAAGCCATTTGCGCAGCACTGCACCAACTCCTAAAAATTCACTGAGTTACCCAGGCCTAGTCCCGTTTATATTTGGTACCCAAAATGGCTAAGAATTTTTAAATGTAAATTAAATAGTAGATGCTAGGCCTTGAATCCTACATCCCAAAAACAACTTTAAAACAATATTTATTGCACTTATCTTATAACAATATTTATTGCAATTTTTATGTCGGGAAATTATGTTGGGATAATCCCTCCTAGAGATACGCGGAGCAATACTTTACCGCACTGCAAGTTACTTTAGTGATCGCTTGAGCACGAAAAAAAATTTTATTCAGACAGACGAGCATCTAATTATATTATGAGTTTTCTTGAAGATATGATAATATTCGTCGGTTTTTTTAGTAACATGTTAAGGAAACTATACGTTATTGCATTCGATTGCTGATCACAAAGGTTTAGTTAGCTTTAGTGATGCCTACATATAAAAATATATTATGCCTTTCCCCAGCTCAGATTTAAGAGCTTTAAGCACTACTGAGAAATACTTCTCCCATAATAACCTCTGTCCAACTGACTAAGAGGTGTTCCTAAATTATTTTCGTAATTTTTTAAATACATTTTATTGTTTCATAGTTTTGTTGTTAGAAACAGAAGCCCTGAATATGTTCAAAAGTCTATTCTTTTCTCTTTACGACATTAGTAAATTTGCTTGCTTTCTGTACAAGCATTGGCCATTGAAATCTCCCAATATTAGTTCGCACGAGTTGTTTTGAGGTATTTGCCCGTTTCCTAACCAAACATGCAAATATCGTCTATGTCACTATAGTTTGCTTTGCTTTGCATATAGGGCAAAAATTTACCTTGCTTCTAAAACTGTAGTATTAATTTAACTTAATTTTAATTTTTTAACTTTAATTTTAACTAATTTATAAAAATATTTACTAAATACAATCGGAACTTTGGACTGCCAAACCCTCCATGCAATAGCCCCATGACCTTAAATCTGTTTGAAGCCTAGTTAATTAATCTCTCGTCTTTATCGACTGTCTTACAAATGTTTTCGATAAAAATCGTATGATATACTCTTAGAACTATCCTCACGGACTATTTTCATTAGACAATATTATTAGTTGCTCTCAAGACTTTTTTATTGATCCAAATTTTCACTAGGACGTTCTAATGACAATCTCCGAGCGTTTACTCCCTTAATCTGTAGTCGTGTGCTGAACGCAGCCTGGAATAGATAACCGATCAATAACCAAATCAAGTAACCGTTCGCAACTGTCTGCTAACTATTTACGTAAATAATACTGTCGAACTTGTTGGGCATCACTAATCGAAGCCTTTCAGCACGATTACAGAAAATTGTTTAACACGTAAATTACATTCTACATTGGCATCTATTACAAAGGATTCAAATTGGAAAATCATAACGCCGCGGAACAATGAATGCTTGTTTAGTTATTGATAATGCCAGAACTAAGAAAACAAATTGTAAATATTCTAATGTAAATATATAATATACAGGGTTATTCACGCTATACGGCACGGACGTTTGCGGCTAGCCCGTTTGTTTTTTGCGAAGTATTATTTGATGCATCCACAGACGCCTATCGGGTGCACATTTTAAAAATGTTTTTGTAAGGTACAGAGTGTCCCAAAAGGCCTAAAAGTATCAAAGTTGTGCTTTTTTAAATGAAATACCCTATATATTATTGCATTTTTGGATTCTCTGTGCAAAATAAGTGTTTGTTTTAATAAAATTTATAATGTCTAAACTAAAGGTTTTTTAAATAATTCGAATTTTATCAAAATTTAATATTATTTTCATGTGTCAAATACTTTAGAATTAATTAAGTTATGTAAACGTAATTCGTAGTTTAGTGTAACAAGAAATCATAATTTACATCCCAATGATAAT